GAGAACACGACACGCTCTGCCCTGCAGAGATTTCTCTGCTGCCAGTGCAGCAGTTGCGAGTTTGGTGCATGCAAAACATGCAAAGCTGTCAGCCCTAGGGGCTCAGGCACCCAAGCTGCCATCCCACACCCATCCCCACACGGGATTTTAATGCAACTCTTTGGCAGAGCGTGCAGAGGAAAGCAGGGCTCCAGCCTCAGCCCTTCTTCTCCAGTGCAGGGTTGTTTTCCTGCCACAAAAAGCTACTTACAGCAAATCACCTTGTCACCAGTTCCAAACCCAGCTACAGGCCGCCTCTGTGTACTTGCTTGTTTAATTAAATCAAAGCTTGGAGTTCCCCTCTGCAGAGATCACAACCCTTCCCAGAGATGCACTTCACTCCGTGTGCACAGAAATGCTCCTCTCACAGTGGTATCTGGGAAATAATCTTTACTTGCAAAGTGGCCCATTTGGGATGGCAGCACCCACCATCGAGAAACTACTGTCCCAGGGTGAGAGAAGTCCCCAACATCCCCGATCTCACCTACCTCCAGGAGGGCACAGCCACCTCTCCCCAGCACAGGCTCCCTGCTCTCTCCCTCTCATGCTTGCAGGGAGGTGCAAGCACCCCAGCAAGGCAACACCCACCAAAACCAGCCCCAAGACCCCCATATAACCCCAGCTGCCTCCCTGTCCTCCAGCCTCAGGCTTCCTAGAGACCCCCAGCCCCACTGCTGAGACAATTCCCTCTGCAACAAGCCCAGCCCCCTGGCCAGGGGGAACAGGAAGGCTGGGAGCATGTCCCACACTGCCAGCTCCTCTCAGATAACCCCGAGTTACTTTACTAGCTGCACATCAGTACACAGAGCTGAACCAGCACCTGAGGGCATTGCCTAGAGGTAAACATTGATGTGAAGGACCTCAGAAAAGCACAGCCCAGCAGCCAAGATAGCAAGCTGAATATTTTTGTTTGTTTTGGTTTTCTCTCTTCTACTCTCCCACACAGTCCTCCTGAGCTACAGCTTTTCTGTGCTGCAACTCAGCTCTTTCATTGGAAACTCTTTCTCCAGCTGAAAGCTTTGCTGCTGCTAGGGCTCAGGTGGCTCTGCCTGTCCCTGGTGCAGGCAGGGCTGCCTGCCTGGGGAGCCCTCCCCTCGGTCAGAGCCATGGGGATTAGTGTTTTGAAGCAAGCAATAAATTCCTGAGATACATAAGATTCATTTGAAGATTAAAGCCACGGAGGCAAATCAGCTAAAACAAACTGAATGTTTTCCTGGCTCAATCTGTCCTGGGACACACAAAAACCTGGGAAAGATGAAGACACTCTGGGAACAGACATGGAGCTGAAGTCCCATATCTGAGAGATTTGCCCTGGGAAGAACTGGGCGCAATGGGAAACATACTGGTTTTCCATGGCCTGGAGACACATTCAGCTGCCTGCCGGGGGAAGGAGGAGCCCAGGCTGTCGCTGAGGCTGAGTGAGGTGGGCATGTGTCCGGGTCATTTTTCCCTTGCACAAGTGTAACACCTTTTTCCTTAAATTCCCAATGTTTTGGAATAAAGGCTGTAGAGGGCCTGGAGACTAGCAAGTAAATCCCTCTTCATGCAGGGGTGGTTAAAGCAGTGCAAGCACAGACATATTGAACACCCTGAGAAGGATGCAGTAGGTTTGGTGGCAAAATACTTCTTGCTTCCCAAGCACAGCACCCCTCTTCGACAGCACATTTCCCCCCGCGCATTGTTTTTTGTGGCCTAAGGGTTGTTCACAAGGGTTTCATCCCTGGGCAGAGGGAGACGGGGATGGGAGTGAGCGTGGTTTGCAGTGTCGCAGAATGCTGGAGGGTACAGAGAGGGAGCAAAGCAGGGAAGCAGAAGTATTAGGTGCTTGTCACCTTGGTTGTTGTGGCTGGCTCACTCACCCCCTGTGAAGGGCAGGGAGGCCTGAGTATCACCACCCTTATGTCAAGAAGCTCCGTGAGTGTCTTTATAAACACCAGCATCCAGCCACGATGGTTATTTTTATTGCAGAAGCACTCTTAATCTCTCACCAGAAGGAGGGAGCACCCAGCTTGGCGAGCTCCAGGCAGCCCTGCCACAAGGAGCTACAGGCTCAGTCAGAGCCGATAGGTACATGAGGAGGAAAACCAGTGCTGTCTTCCTCGTGTTACTGGGGTGTGGAGGTGAAGGGTTGGGAGCAGGTTGCCCATGGAGCTGGTGGCAGAGAGGCCTGGCAGTTCTCTGAGGAGAAGCTCAAAGCTCAAAGCAACCCTCCTGCTTGGTGGCTGCTGCTGTAGCATTCATGGTCGCATGGCTTGCTCTGATTTCAGAAGAAGCAGAGGCACCTGGAAGACCCCTTCCTTCTCCCCGCTGCTCTCTGCCTCACAGGATACCGGGCGCCGAATGGCAAAGAAATTGCCGGGTATCGCCCTGCTCTCTATCCCAATCCATAGGGAGAATAAGTCTGTCTCCCTGTAGTCGATGGCGAGCTGGAAGGTGAAGCTCTGCAGGAGTGTGGTGAGGAAAAGGAAGAGCTCGATGCGGGCGAGAGCCTCTCCTGGGCACATCCGCTTCCCTGGGGGCACAGAAAGGGGAGGGTGAGCAGAGGGCTGATGGCTTCATCCAGCGTTTGGGGAAAAAAGGGCATAAAAGGACAGCAACAAAGCTCGTAATAAGGGTGTAATTTGGTGCCAACTGATACTCATGTTGGCAGTCCCTGAAGTGGAGCCGCTGCAGGCAGGGTGCTGGCACAGGCAGTGTGCAGGGCTGAGCACTGACCTGCCGAGAAAGCCATGAAGGCTTTGTGCTTCTTGAACTTGCCCTTCTCATCCAAGAAGTGGCCTGGGTCGACTTCTTTGGGGTTCTTCCATTGGGTTGGATCCGTATGCATGGAAGAAAACACTGGAATAACAGCCGTGCCCTGCAGGAGAGGGACGGGGCAGGGGAGCAAGGAAGGACATCAGTACTGCAACACAGGGCTCTAGTGAGATGGATTAGCAAATGAGGAGCAGCTGGGGGGGTGCAGGGGGAGGCTGGGTGCACACCTGATGCCCACCCAAATGCCCATGGGGAGGCAGCCCGGAGCAGTGGCTCTGTGCCAGGCAGGGACAACTAACGTGGGGCTCAGCTGTCCCCATGGTCCTGCTGGTTTCTGTGCGGCTCCTGGGAGAGAAATTATTGAGTTATTCCCATTGGTTTATGTTAAAACCTCTCTTGCTGCACAAAGTCCAAAGGAGGGAGGTATTCCTTCAAGGTGGGTGCCGTACAAAATGCTTGCAGTCAAACCTGGACTGGTGGCCGTCCCCAGATCTGCCGAGGAGGTGGGGGCTGGCTTGGCCCCAAAACAGGGTGAGCTCAGGCTCCTAGCCTCAGCAACCCTGCACATCTCCCTGGTGGAACGAGGTATTTTCCAGAACAGGCAGGGGACATGGGTGTGTGGGCAGAACTGGCAGCAGCATTCACCTCCTTCTACACCTCCGCTAAAAGGTTATCGCCCTCTTCCCCCGCCAAGGGTTGCGAAAGACCCAGGACCTTCAGGAGTGATTAAACAATCCGAGGGCAAAGGTGAGTCTCACTCAAGCGCCCCTGCCACCCCTCCATGGGGGGATACTGAGGCTCCAGGGCTGCGACACCTACCTTGGGGATGATGTGGCCTCTGAACATGACGTCCTGCGTCGTCATCCGTGGGAAATTCTCAGTGCGGGTCTTGTGGAAGCGCTGCAGCTCGTGGATCACCGCGTTGGTGTACGGCATCCTCAGCTTGTCCTCTGTGCTGGGAGCACGACTGGTGCCCACCACCGCGTCGATCTCCTCTTGGACCTTGGCTAGGGAAAAGGCAGGCGTGGAGCTGTGGTGCTTGCTGTGCAACACCCCCTGCAATTTCTTACTGGCCTCCATGGGCAGCTATCCTACACAGGAAGATCTAGCAGAGATGGAACAACCTGGTATAACCCCTTGTAGAGACCACAAAAAGGGTCTCTGTCCTCATGCCTCCCCGCATCAGGCAGATTCAAAGCATCTCTCATAGGCCAGTCCGGGGCCATCTGCACAGGCAGGGGTGGAGAAAAGGGAACAGGTACCCAGATCCCTCTGGCCTGTGTGAATCTGTGTCTAATGGCTCTCACCCTTGGGTGACCCGTGCTGGATGATTCTGATCTCCTCCCAAACAGGACCCTCCAGGGTTGGAACTCTCTGCGGCTTTGTTTCACCATGACCTCCTCAGCCACAGAGAGCAGTTGCATTTTGCTGCCCTTACCTTGAATATGGGGGTATTTTGCCAGGGTCAAGAGAAAGAAGACCAAGGCACTACTAGTAGTCAGTGTCCCGGCACCAAAGAGGTTGAATACTGACATGACCAAGTCTTCAGTGCTGTACATGTTCTCTGGGCTGCTCTTCTCCTGCAAGGATACGGTGGGAAGGGGACTCAGTATCATCTGGGTGATTTTCCAGGCTGCTGCCAGGCCTGGAGGGCAGCCCTCATCCCCCTTTGCACCATCTCTACCTTCTCCGCTTTTATAAGGAAACAGTCAATGTAGTCCCGGGGGCAGCTGGGATCCAGCGTGAGCTTGTGAAGCTCGACTCTTTCTCGGATGTAGTCTTTCAGCTTCTCGCACTCGGCCAGGACTTTCCTGTGTGGCCCTGGGAGATGGTTCATGATGTTGGGGAAAGTGTTGTAGACCTGCAGATAGGGGAGGCACAGGGGGGCTCAGGTGCCTGGAATGAGCTTCCCACACCTTCCCTCAAAGCCATGCTGTCCCATCAAAGCCAAGGAGTGGCCCAAAGCTAAGGAGCATCCCTCAACTGCCCAAGTGCGTCAGACATGAAGGTGCTGACCGCAGCAAGGGCGCCTACCATAGCAATGGGGGAGAGGAAAAAGCTGTTGTAATTCCCGATCACTTTCAGTAGCTCCAGAAAGGCCGTGTCGCTGTAGCTGTAACGGCTCCCAAAGACAACAGAGCAGATCACATTGGAAACTGCATGTCTCAACATCGTAACTGGCTCAAAAATGTTTCCTGCAGCCACAGAACAGGCAAGAAAGGCACCAAAAAGTCAACAGTTATTTATCTGCTTCAACACCCTTCCTCCCCCTTCGAGCCCCTGTCCTTTGGACTCTGAGCCCTGGCTGAATCTGCTGGGTCTAACAGCCAGAGCAAATAATCCTCCTGAGCTGTGGGTTCCTACGTCTACCTCCCTGCTCCTAAACCGCGCCCCAGTGGTCAGGACTGAGGAAAGAAGAGTCATCTCCAGGTGCTTTAGGCTCCTGATGATGTGCCCTGGGGATCTGGGGGGCTGCAGAGCATCTCCCTGTGGCAACCAACTCCTTGCCAGCACCGCTCACTGGAGGCAGAGGAGCCAGCGTACAACTGAATTTCCATCTTCTCTTCTATTCTGGAAGCCCCAGAAGAGGTGGTGGCACTGGCAGCAGCTCAGTTTTGTTGCAGAGGATGTCGCCCTGATAAGCCCTGTGTGGCCAGGGCAGTATCTTATTTGTTCATTCTCGATGCCATGCAGTTTAGTTTCCTATTTGTGTTCTTTTGGCATGAAATGTCCCTCAGTGGTTGCCACCCCCTGCACCAGTTCAGGAGCAGGATCTCCCACCCTGGCCTTTAAGCCATGACGGTGGCACATCCCTGCTGCTCTCTCTGGGTAGGATGGGGCTAGGTCTAAGCCCTTTCTCTACAAGGATCATCCACACCAGCCATTGCAAACAGCTCTGGGGGCACACGTGTCCAGTGAGGCTGTTGTGTGTCCTCCGCCTGCCGCAGGGGCCAGGGTGGACGGGACCCATGTCACCTTTGAATTTTGTGAGCAGTTCCACCAGGTGCTGGGCCTCCATCTGCACCCGCTGCGACATGGAGCTCTTCCCCATCCCAAAGTCCCGCAGGGTGCTGAGCGTGAACCTCCGCAGCTCCTGCCACTTCTTCTCATTTTTGGAGAGAAAACCTGGAGGGAGGCAGCGGAGACCACTCACCTGCCTGCCCTGCCGCTCCTCCCCAGGATCAGGGGACCCTGCTTTGAGCGCAGCTGAGGAGCAATAGGGCAGTAAGCCAGGGAATGATCCTGGTGTGTGCACAGTGTCCTTGAAAGGCCGAGGATCTCTACAGAAGCTCTGAACAAAGTGGGAACTGGCTAAGTGGAATTAATACTGTCCTTGGACAAGAGGACTTAGTAGTTGGAGGGACTTGCAAAGTGGTAAATTGATGTTTGAGGTCTTGGGTGTTGAGTCCTTCACTAGTCAGGAGCATGTCCAGCTGCAGTCAGGGACTTCTGCTCACCCAGAGATCAATAGTGTCTAGAAGAAATCCAGACACCTACCGTAGTCTTTCGATAGCTGCACCAGAAGCGGTATTTCACGTCTCCCTCCAAACTCCTCGGGGTGGCCCAGCAGAGCATCCTTCACCACCTCGTACCCACAGAGCACCACCACTGGCTTCAGCCCCAGCCAGATGGTGAAAATGGGGCCATACGTGCTGCTGAGCTGGGGGAGGACAGGAAAGCTGTGGTGACTGAGGGTCCTGCACCCCAGCCTTTTGTTTAATTTTAAATTGGGTCTCATGACCGCCGGGCTGGTGAATGTGCGGGCAGGGAGGGGAAGCGCCTCCCTTGAAGCCGACATCCTCGCCCCTCTCCCATCCCAGCCCTCTCCCTGGGAGGTTTCTGATCCCAATGCCACTTTGGGGGTTCAAAGTATCATCTCTGGGAAGCAGGTCTGGATGGCGGCAGTGCTGCAGCCCAGAGGGTGGCTAGTGTCACCGCCATGATTCCCTTACAGGAGGAGAAAGAGTTCAATAACAGTATTGATTATGCTCCCAGTAGCAGGGATGTAGGCAATTCTGGCGGAACAAGAGAAAAAGGAGGGAAAAAGAGAAAAGAAAGGTAGGAAAACAGTCACCTGCACGATTTCCCTTTTATTTTGATATGAGACATTCACACTTTCTGTCCTGCCAGGGCTGGGACCAGGTCTGGCACTGCCAGTTCCTTTCTTACCTTCTCATAGGCCCTGTAGAGGGGCAGGACATCCTTTTGCCATAGGTTGCCCAGAATGGGCCATGGGGCCGGTCCAGGAGGCAGTCGGCTTCTCTTCTTATTGCTTCTTGAGACCAGGAACCACAGGATGGAGAGGAGGAGGGTAATGAGTACCCCAGCCAATCCAGCATCCATCCTCACCCGTGCTGGTGAGCAGGAAAAAAAGTTCAAGAAATTCCCTCTCCAGGAAGAAAATCACAACAATGAGCAATGAGCAGAGAGGAACCAAAACCTGCTGCCTCTGCCCTTCCTTGTGCTTTATATAGACACAGCCCTTCCCACAACCCCCAGGGTTGTCTCCTGCATGTCCCCTCACCACTCTCTGAGTGGTCAGTGACACGGAGATGCTGTTTCCTCCTGGCCAAATACCTACCTGACCCCGCCGTGTTGTAACACGGATCTCGAAATACTGACATGGGGTGCCGGAAGCTTTGCAAAACCCCGTAGATGAGCCAGGGGAGATAACGGCTCTCCCCTCCCTGCGTTCCTGGGTCACTTTTTCTCAATGCTCCCGTTCAGTGGCATGCAACGGTGGAAGCTTCCACTGTCCTGGCAAAACCTCGCATGTCACTGCCAGGTCATTGTCCATTTGATTACCGGTGCAGTGACCCAGGAAGGGACATTCTTGTAAACAGAAATGGTGGTAACCCAGAAGCGGGGCACATGTGGCTGGTCAGGTACCTGTTGGGTGACAATTTTCTACCATGCTCCTTTCTGACGGAAAATGGATCAGAAAATAGGAAACCCACATTTTTTTCTGAAATACTTTGGGGTTCTGCTTGGGTTTTGGAAGAACATCAACCCAAGGTGTTGCGGTTGTTGCAGGCATGGTGTTAATCCTTGCCCAGGCTCCTCTGGCCTCTTCAGGTCTCCTCTGATGTTTTTGAGAGTCTCGCTCTGAGCACCAGCACATCTGGCTGCTCATGAGCACATCTGGCACTGGCTCAGCCACCACACCTCTGCTCAAGAGCACTTGCAGCCCTTGACTGAGCGAGCTGGTCGCAAGCCAGTTCCCAGCAAAGGATGCAATCTCTCCTGGAGGAGAGAATTGGAGGAAAAGAGGGAGAAGGTTAGATTTCATGCTTGTCCCTACAGTGGAAGGAGACCCTCAGCATAGAGCATTAAATGGTATTTGCTGAGAGGAGCCTGAGTTATAATGCTTGCCCAGAGCAGAGCATCTCCCCGCATCCAGCCGCGGGATGAATGGCTGGGAACCAGGACTGCGTTTGGGCAGGGCTGATAGAACCAGCCAGGACCTTTGCACCTGCACCCATTTTTGGCCACATAGCAGGGTGGTTCACAGGTGTCAGGCCAGGGATGCTTAGTGCTGCCAGCCGGGCTCATCCCAGCCGGGCTATGGGGGATGCTGCCCCATGGCCACAGTATGATTCCTTACGTGTACACACCAAATCTCTCTCAAATCACCAAAAAGTGACTAGCAATGAACCTCCCGCAGCTCTGGGACTGCTCTGTTTCAATATTTTGATTTTTTTTTTTCCCCCTTGCCCCATGCTGTTGGGGGCTGGAGGGGGCTCCTGTCTCCACCAGCACTGCAAACGCACTCAGCAAAAGGGGGTTTGGGAGGAGAGGGTCGTGGCGGCTGGATGGGCAGCCCCACAGTGGTGCCAGGAGCCCTGTAGCTGACACCCACTGGGGCTGTGGCCAGGAGGTTACTGTGACTCACTTGTTTACCCTGTCCTGTCCTGTCCTGTCTCGTCCCTGCACTTCCCAAGAATTGCTCTCAATTCTTGACTTGGGTGCGAGCAAGTGGGGAGCTTTGCTCAGGGAGGTGATGTAGTGACAGGGATTTTGGCGGGGGGGGGGAGGTGTATGTGAACAGCCTTTTGGTGACTGACACTGTTTTTTCCATGGCAGCCGAACAATACAAAGGAATCACTTGAACAACAGGAAAAGAAACAGCCGTGGGAATTAGTCTGAGCTGCAAAGTTTAAATCCGATGGAAAATTCCCTCTTCTGCAGGCAAGCTCAGGCAGAGCCATGGCTGCCTGCCTGGACACCAACAGCATTTCGGTGCAACACTCATTGCTACAGCAGTTTTTTGAAAGGTAAGAATGCAAAAAAAAAGTGTTGTTATATCACATTTTATTAATGAAAATGAGAAAACAAACAAATCACTCTGGAATTTGTGAGTTCAGGGCACCAGACAAGAAGTTTAACACAGGGATGATGAAATTTTGCGTTTGTCTCCTTGAACTGCTTGATGAAACTTTGCTCTAAGTTTCTCTTCATAGTCTATAGAATAAACTAAACCAAAAGACCCCAAGTAGAGGGTCCGTGTAGTATCTCTTGTCAAGCATGCAGAAAAAAAAGGGAAAGGTAGAAGTGTTGACTAAACCTTTAGCAGCTGAACAGCACTTTGCCTGAAGACATCACAGAAGGGAGGAGCACAGATAGGCTTTAGTGCAGCTGCTTCAGCACTTTGCAGGGCTGGGACATAGAGTGAGCCCAAACTGCCTCATGTGGACCTAAAACCACCAGTACTTTGTCCATCTTTCTGCTGATTTTCTTACAAGGGCTTTTGGAGAGCAGGTGTCTGTAGAGAAGCAGGCTGCTGCAAGGCTCTGGGATCCCTTCAGGAGCAGTTGGTGAGCCTTTTCTGCCCCAAAAACTAAAATAGCAGGGGAAGGTCAGCTAACGACCCACATGGAAGAACTTGTGTGACATGAACAAAAAAAGGGACAATGTTTTGACTTCTAAAAAAATAAAAAATCCATTTAGAGATTGCCATGGCCTTTGGATTTTAATTGAAAGTCATGTTTTGGGACTAAACTCATGCAGAAATAGCATGTAAAAGCAATTGGGGAGCAGAGCATCCCATGCTTGCCCCGCAGTGTCTGGATGCTCTCAGGGCACAGGGGGGATGCCTGGTCCTGGCCATGCCTGGTCCTGGTGCCAGGATGGAGCCTGGCTCCTGCCTGCCACGCTGCAGCTCTGCCAGGGACAGGGAAAAGCATTGCTCGATTAAATGCTCATGTTGCTGGGTCAGACCCAGAATATAACAGAGGGGTAGAGTGAAGGAGTTAAAAGAAACGGTGCTCGTAGGGTATTTTTAGGTGTAGACGTGTATTCGGAAAAGCTGCGAGGCAAACACAGCAGTGCAGAAGTGAGAGAAGATGACTTCAGTTAAATAAAGCAGTCAATAAACTGTCTGGGTTATTAGATCTAGGAAGATCTGCCGGAGGAAATCGTAATGGTTGTTCCTGTCTCTCAGCTAGCGCTTCTCTGCAGTCGGAGTCAAAAAACCTTGGCAAGGATCCGGACACAGCCTATGTCATGGGGAGGAGGATGGGGAGCAGAGCCACCGCACAGCATGGCCGGGAATAGGGTCTGACTGAGGGCTCACAGCTACAGAAACACCAAGTCACCGAGGCTAGAGGCACCCTGGAAGTCATCTCCTCCAACTTCCTGGTCCAGCAGGACCAGCAGGAGGAGGCTGCTCCAGGCCATGTCTAGTTGGGCTTTGCATACCTCCAAGGATGGAGACTCCACAACCTCCCTGAGCAACCTCCTCCCATGTTCAACCGCCCTCACAATAAAATAGTATTTTCTTACGTTTAAGGAGAATTTCCTGTATTTCAATTTGTTCCTGTTGCCTCTTGTCACTTGGCACCTTGGAGAAGAGTCTGGCCAGGTCTCCTTTACCCCTCTCCACCAAGCATTTATCCTCATGGATAAGATCTCCTTGATACATCTCCTCTTCAGGCTGAACCACCCCAGCTCTCTCAGCCTCTCATCAGCAAGATGCTCCAGGCCCTTAGTGTTTGCTGAACTTGCTCCAGCATGTCCACATCTCTCTTGTACTGGGGATCCCAATGTGGAATACAGCATCCAGATATGTGTCACCAGCTCTGAGCAGAGGGATCTGCTCCTTGACCCACTGGTGATGCTCTGCCTGATGTAGCTGAGGAGGCTGGTGGTCTTCGCTGTGAGAGTGCATTGCTGGCCATGGTCAGCTCAGTCTCCTCCAGGACCCCCAAGGCCATCTCTGCCCAGCTGCTTTCAGCTGGGTGGCCCAGGCGTGTCCTGATGCCAGGGGCAGGACTGGGCACTTCCGCTACCTGAAAAGCCCCAGGTCTTTCTCATCCCATTTCTCCAGCCTGTCCAGGTCCCTCTGGGTGGCAGCATGACCTCCCAGTTCAGTGACATCTGCCAACTCGCTGAGGGTGCACCCTGCCCCATCCTCC